AGAGAGAGAGAGAGAGAGAGAATTGGAATTGGAGATGTGGTTCAGTGGTAAAGCACCCTTGTATTCAATTCCCAGTACTGGAAATTTTTTTTTTTTTTTTTTAAACCAAATGTGTGGATTATTTTGGATTATTATGCCATTATTTTCTCTTATTGTGATATAATCAGTTCTTTCTATCCTTAAAGCAGCAAGGTCATATTTTACCTTTCTGCATACCCTATATGATAAGCAAAATTTCCAAACTTCAGAAGGTAATAATTTCTGCTTGTAGAACTCAAGAATACCTGATGTTGACTTATTTCTTTGCACTTTCTTTTTGTTTCATTTTCAGCCGTCTCTGTGGTAGCCCTTGTCCAGCTGTATGGCCTGATGTTATCAAACTACCCTACTTCAACACTATGAAACCGAAGAAGCAATATAGAAGGCGTTTGCGAGAAGAATTTTCTTTGTGAGTTTGGCAAAAATGTGCATCTCAGTTTAGGTTTGGCTTGTGTTAAGACTGCCTTTTCCTGGCTACGGGAGTTATCATTGTCTCAGTTTACTCTGACAAAACATTTTATTTTTAAACAGTATGCTAGTTTTATCATAGCCCTCATACTTTTCTAATTTGACTATAGAAGACCATTTTGTTTTGAATAATTATATAAATTTCTTCATAGTTCTTTTGATCTTTAAGGAAATGAGAGAAAGACATTATTGTCATGTGTTTTTTACCTGGATTGTAGCATTTCTTAAATCCTGTGTGAGAGCAAATCCATTTGCTTGCATTAGCCAACTTCTAGCTCCCTTTCCTCAGTTTAACATGAAGCTGGAAATTCAGAGACCTTTTAACAAAAAATTTGAGAACAATGGGATCATTGCAAACTTAACCTTTTCTTTTTTTCTTTCCATAGCATTCCTTCAGCAGCACTTGATTTATTGGACCACATGCTGACACTAGATCCTAGCAAGCGTTGCACAGCCGAACAGACCCTACAGAGTGACTTCCTTAAGGATGTTGAGCTCAGCAAAATGGCTCCTCCGGAGTAAGTACTGGTGGCTATGCAGTGACCCTACGCCTCCCCTAACCCTCAGGAGATGAGAAACTCAAGATAATAGGTTTTTTTAAAAAAGAACTGCAAATGGCTAAGTTTCACATGTAGAGATTTCCTTGAGTTAATAAGGAAGTTAATATGGTTAATAAGGAAGATAGTTTTGTTATTTTAAACAGTGAATAGAGCTGGGCATGGTATCACACGCCAGTAATCCCAGCTTCTTGGGAGGCTAAAGCAGAAGGATCATAAATTCAAGGAACTTAGCAAGACCCTGTCTCAAAATAAAAAGGATTGGAGATGTCACTCAGTGGTAAAGTGCACAGGGTTCAATTCCTAGTACTAAAAGCCAAAACAAACAAAAAAGGTTTAGTTATAATATTTGCTCTAGATTTGACTCTCAAGAATCTTTTTGTCTCTAGATTCTTAGCATATTGCCCTATACAACCTCTTTGAAAGTATTTCTAGTGCTTGCTTTGGCAGCACATATACTAAAATTGGAATGAAACAGATTAGCATGGCCCCTGCACAAAGATGACATGCAAATTCATGAAGCATTCTGTATTTTTTTAAAAGTATTTATTTTAGTTTTGTTCTTGACCATTTTATCTTCTGGAATCACCTGTATCTGTGGGGACCATGTATTTCTCATATTTGTAAGAATAGTCCTAATTTCAAATAGTTTGCATCACTGTTAGGTCACTGAATAGTGACTTAAAAAAAATGATGTCTTTGAATCTCTCTTTCATCATAATCCTATGAACTTCCTATATTTTGTAGGATTTCCAGGGATTTTGCACTCATCCCCCACATTCTGGCACATAAAAAAATCTTATTATTAGGCTTGGGGATATAGCTCAGGGGTAGAGTACTTCTGTTGTATATGTGAGGCCCTGGTATTACAGACAGAAGAAATCTTTTATCTCTGATTTATCACTAACAGTATTATAGCTTTTGTATCAGATTTTTTTTTTTACCCCCCCACCCACTGGCAATTGAACTCAGGGGCACTTGACCACTGAGCCACATCCCCAGACCTTTTTTTCTATTTTATTTAGAGACAGGGTCTACACTGAATTGTTTAGTGCCTCGCTTTTTGCTGAGGCTGGTGTTGAACTCACAATCCTCCTGTCTTAGCCTCCCAAGCAGCTGGGATTACAGGTGTGCATACCATGCCTGGCAAAGAATGTCTCACTGAAGTGGGTAAGATTTCAGTACATGAGTAGGTAGTATATAAATCCGATTGTTCTAAAGAAATGTCCAGATTCATCTGTGGGACTAGAATTTCAGTACACTGAATGTGACTTGAAATTCCTAAGCTGCTTACTGAAATTTGGGAACTCCTATTATAGGGATTTTGTAGTAAGATGATTTAATATACTTGTAATGTTTGCATTTTTGAGTATGGGAAGTCTGGAAATAACATCAATTAATACATAGTATTAAACGCTACATATGAAAAATATGTAGTTATGGAAATTTAGTGAACAGGAAGAGGAAGGAACCAGTCGTTGGTTCTCACAGACCAAATAACAAATTCATTTTACACAGAATAATTTAATCGTCATGTATTTATATGGTTCCAAGATTTAAATCACCACCTTTCTTAGACTTGTAAGTATTAGCAAGCCAGTAATCTCTGTCCTTTTATTCCCAGCTGAAACTTGACCTGTTATATCAAGGAAGAGCAATATTTGACTAGAACATGAAAATTTATATATCAGGTGTATCCCTAGTATTAGCAAGATCCTTATTTCCCACTATATAAAATCTTTTGGGCTTTTGGACTTTTATTTCCCCAGATTGTCATCTGCCATGGTTCTTTATATGTTGCTACTATCACTAATTTTCATGTTTCCTTGTTCTTCCCACTTCCCATGCTTTCCCAGTTCAATCTTTATTCCTCTATTCGCTCACTGCTGCATTCCCCTTTGCTTTGTCTTTTTCCAGCCTCCCTCACTGGCAGGATTGCCATGAATTGTGGAGTAAGAAACGGCGACGGCAACGACAAAGTGGTGTTGTGGTAGAAGAGCCACCTCCATCCAAAGCCTCTCGGAAAGAAACTACCTCAGGGACAAGTGCTGAGCCTGTGAAGAACAGCAGCCCAGCACCACCTCAGCCTGCTCCTAGCAAGGTGGAGCCTGGGGCTGGGGATGCAATAGGTCAGTGCTGGAATGGGATCTTTGTGCTTTTATTAAGCACATTTGGCAGATTTTGAAGGTCATATGCGAGGAGTATGGAGCATGTGTGTCTGTGTCTTTTAGTTTTTGTCCAGTGAGGCAATAGGACAGAGGTTGATGTTCTCATTTGTGGAAAGAATATAAGCCATATTTTGTACATGTGGTTCAGAAAGTCTATAATACACCATTTTCCTTTCTTGAAATAAGGAATACTATATCTTAGATGTGTGATAAAAATCAGTGAATTAAGTAAGCAAAATTTAAGTTTCATCCATGACTTTATAACACATGTTGATTTAGAGCCCTATCTATATTAGATTTGATAAGATCTTAGAATCTAATTATATTAAATAAATCACAGTTGCTAAATGTATTTAGTTCTGTAGACAGTTATTCATTCTAAATATATCTAAAGCTGTTAAAATGAACTATCATAACAAAATAGTTTTCCTGTAGTACCATCAATTTTTCTGAACCGTATATGATTGACTTTCCCTCCCTTGTCCACCCCAAATTGGCTACACATTAGAATCATCTAGGAAGCTTTAAAAATAGATACTCTCAAATAGTTGACAAAATAAAAATTTGTCCTAGTAATTCTTATATATAGTAAAGGTTGAAAATCACTGATCTTGAAAAGAATATAGGTAAGTGGCCTGGGAATGTAGTAGCTCTTTGTTAGAACACTTGCCTAGCAAGCATGAGGCCCTGAGATCAATTCTCTAGTATCAGCCAAAAAAGGGGAAATAACAGATGAAAAAAGAATACATATGGGAGATATTGTGTGTGTGTGTGTGTGTGTGTGTTTGGTTTGTTTTTTTGTTTTTGGTATTGGGGATTGAACCCAAAGCCTCACATGTATTAGGCAAGTGCTCTACAATTGAGCCACATCCCTAGCCCTTAAAATGAAATCAGGGGTCTGGGATTGTGGCTCAGCGGTAGAGCGGTCGCCTAGTGCAGGCGGGACCTGGGTTCTATCCCCAGCACCACATAAAAATAAAGGCGTTGTGTTGTGTCCATCTACACCTAAAAAATAAATATTTTTAAAAAATGAAATAACTTTTACGCATAATACAGATATGTTTTAGTTAATCCTTGTTTATTTAAGCCAAAGTATAAGAATGACAAATTATATCATGACAGTTCAAGGCATGAAAAATGAGACTTCAAAATGAAACTTTATTTCTTGAATATTATAGTTCACTTTGCCAATTGAAGAAGGCAGAGGGCCCTTGTCTGCCTTAAATTGATCCTTGTCTTCTATTACACTGGCTCTACTCTCTCCCCACAGGCCTTGGTGACATCACACAGCAGCTGAATCAAAGTGAATTGGCAGTGTTATTGAACCTGCTACAGAGCCAAACTGACCTGAGCATCCCTCAGATGGCACAGCTGCTTAACATCCACTCCAACCCAGAGATGCAACAGCAGCTGGAAGCCCTGAACCAGTCTATCAGTGCCCTGACAGAAGCCACTTCCCAGCAGCAAGACTCAGAGTCCATAGCCCCAGAGGAGTCTTTGAAAGAGGCACCCCCTACTTCTATAGTCCTGCCTTCAACAGAACAGACAACCCCTGAAGCTTCAAGCACACCAGCTGACATGCAGAATATGTTGGCAGTTCTCTTGAGTCAGCTGATGAAAACCCAGGAGCCAGCAGGCAACCTGGAGGAAAACAACAGTGACAAGAATAGTGGGCCACAGGGGCCCCGAAGAACTCCCACAATGCCACAGGAGGAGGCAGCAGGTAAACAGACCGGTCATGAATCTCATTGAGTTCAGGTGCTGTTGATCCTCTTAAAAATCTCTTTAACATTTTCTTTTTCACATCAAAGGCATCAGTTTCAGTTTTTCTGTAACCTAGTCTACAGGAGAACATAGCACCAAATGATGTATTTCTTATCCAGCTTCTTTTATTTAAGTTTCAAAGTTTCTCAAAGCACCTTGCAGATATTGTTTTTCTACTTCCTAGGATGTAGGTAAGTAAAGTCCCCCATGTTCTTCCCAAGAAAACCACAACCATAGCTAGTGATGGATCTTGAACCACTGTGTGTATGATGGCCAGCTTTTCCTGGAAAATCTAACTTCCAAACAAACCATTATCAGTTTGTACTTCTTTACTTCTAGTGGAGTGGATGCTGGATACAAGTCTTACCTGGAAGATACAGACAAGAAAACCCTAATAAAATATCATTTTAATTTCCTGAAGAATAAGTTGGGAATACTTCTAAATAGATTGTTATTTAATGCCATACATTTCCTTTACCCAAAAAATAGCATATAAAAATGTTCCTTTAAATCTGTGTTCCTGAAAGAGACGATGGAATGGACCCCAGATCAGGAAGTGAGCATTATAGGGGAGGGGGTGGGGTGAAAAAGGGAATGTTACACTTTGATGACCACAATATGCAATTTTTTAGAGGGAAAAGAAGTTTAAATTCTCTAATCAATTCTGATTTACAGTCTATTTGCAAAATCTTACTTCTGAAAGTGTTTTCAACTTTTTGGAAATTTTCACTGTCCATGAAGACCCCATGATTTGGGGAATAAGAAGAGGCACCAGGGCTGAAGAGATATACTAACCTTCAACTTTAGGGTCCTGCATTCACATTTCATATGGGATTGTGCAGAAAGTATATGCTTTATTTTCACTGGAATGAGATCAAAAATATAAACTATTTTTCATATGTAAAGATTTTTAAAACTGGAAGATAATAAAATTAATCCCTTACTTTACGGATAGGAAAACTGCATTCCAGGGAGTTTAAATAAATCCGCCTATGGTTCCTCTGCTGATTATTGGGAGAGGCAAAAACTAGAACTCATGTACTCATACTTCTTTATTCATTTTTCCACTGTGTCATGATTCCAAATATTTGTTTTGTTTTTGTTTTATTTTTTATTCCAATTGTAAGAGACTCCAAGACATGGAGTAACTGGACAAAGCTGTCTAGAACTAAGCAGGTTTCTTAGGGCCAAGCATGGTGGTACATGCCTGTAATACAGCGGCTCAGGAGGCTGAGGCAGGAGGATCACAAGTTCAAAGCCAGCCTCAGCAATTTAGTGAGGCCCTAAGCAATTCAGTGAGACTCTAAATAAAAGATAAAAAGGGCTGGGGATAAGACTCAGTGGTTAAGTGCCCCTGGGTCCAATCTCTGTACCAAAAAAAAAAAAAAAAAAATCAGGCTTCTTTGCTCATCTCTCAGGTTCTGAATTCCCCACCACACCTCCCCTAAAATTCAGCTCAAATCAAAAGACCTGAAAAAGTAGGTCAAATTAATGTAATGATTGAAAGAAATTTACCCAGAATTGAGCCAAGAAAGTATCAACCACATGATGAAATTGAACTAAAATTAAGACCTGGCCTATGGTCAGAAATTGTTGGATTTACATCTCATAGAGTAGAAAAAATGCCACAAATAATTATTGTAGTCACCCCTTGATTATTCAGTTTGTCTCTACCATGTCTTCCCTGTTCTTATTTCTCCAGATGCCTCTTATTTGGCCATTTCACTGTTCATTAGCACTTCCACCAGAGGGCAGACTGTATAAACCAGAGAAGTTGACACCTATCAGTTTGGTTACTGTTTATTATCTATTTGTTGGGAAAAGGTAATGGTTTTAATTTAATGAGTCAAGAAGTTTATATTTATTTTAAACCTCCCTCCATTAGTATGGAACTCTTAGGGATTGGCAACATTAACACTTTAAGAACAATATGATTTGTAATTTGTACTTTATTTTTAATTCCTTTATGAATTTTATTAAATAGTTCTTCATAATCCATGTGCTTTGTTACTTTGAAATAGAATTTTCATTTTATTTATGTGAAAGAATTTGAGCCTCCAAATTAGTTCTATTGAGAAGCAATTAGACTATATATAAAAGGCAAAGTTTAAATATGAAAAATGGAATAGCTGAAAGAATATAAGTTTAGGGCTGGGGCTCAGTGGCAGAGCACTTGCCTAGCATGTGCAAGGCACTGAATTCGATCCTTAGCATCATATACAAGTAAAATAAAGGCATTCTGTCCATCTACAACTACAAAAAAAATAGGGAAAAAATATAATTTAAATTTGTCCACTTTTGCAATTATGCATTTTTAAAGTTGCTTGCTCTTAGTATTAAAAAAAAAAAAAAGCGTTCGGGGGCGGGGGAGGGGGCTGGGGTTGTGACTCAGTGGCAGAGCACTTGCCTAGCATGTGTGAGGCACTGGGTTTTGATCCTTAGCACCACAAACAAAAAGTAAGCAACTAAAATAAAGGCATGCTGTCTATCTTCAACTACAAAAAATTTTTAAAAATAACAACAATAACAAAAAGCAGTATTACAGTCCATGTAGAGTCTCAAAATACTTTTAAAAAGGGTTCTGCCTGGCATGGTGGCACACAACTTAATTCCAGCAAGTGACTCAATAGGCCATGGCAGGAGGATTGCAAATTCAAGGTCAGCTTCAACAACTTAGAAAAATAAAAATGTCTAGGGATGTAGCTCAGAGGCAGAGTGCCCCTGGGTTCAATTCCCAGTACTCCCCCCTGCCTACCCCACCAAAAAAAAAAAAAAAAAAAAAAAAGTGTTGTTGATATTCTTATGTGGAGAGAGATGTAGTGTTGACATCAAAAGGCTCTAAAACCATGGATGCTTATACTACCTTTAGCCCACCTTTTTTCAGGATATCTGCTTTCCAATTTGTGGATTTCCCATGGCTAATACTTTCCTCAGATTCATTTTCCCCTGCCACCTAGTCAACCAGCCAGTCAACAAGTAACACTGTGGGTGCTGCATATAAGGTGAACAACTCATCCCTGTTCTGTCCTCATTTTTAACAATCAATTGGAAACCCCCTCATTCCCAAGAAAACTGGGACAATTGGTCATCCTGCTTGTATGTTACATATAGCATCTGACTTCATCCTAATACTGCACAACCTTAAAATTTTTGTAGTTTTTTCAGAGTGCATTCATCTGCATGCTTATGGAATGCAGACTTGTTTCCTGATTGTATTTACAAAATATAATCAAGGTAAATATGAAAATATCTGCTTATAACTAAAAACAGTTTTTGACTAATGACTTTATATCACTAGTTCAGATAATGAATGAATTATTTTATGGATATTTTAAAACATGCTATCATGGGAAAAAAGAAAAATTGGTCATTGGAAGATATTCAAAACATTAAACCTTTTCTTCAGCAGAGTGACTTCCAATTTTCCAAAGGCACTGTTCTGACTATACTTCTTATTAGGGTTTTGTATGTCCTCAAACTCACATGATTTTTTACCAGTCTCCTCTGGTAAAAAACTCCTTGGCAGGAGTTCATTATCAGACAAATGATTGCCTTTCTTAGGCAAACTTAAACACCAGTAGAAAAAATAAAGTCTGGGGAAATGATTTAGGAAATACAAAGACCTTTCTAAAGATGGAGTGTAGTATCAATACTAAGTTCTTGACTGTCTCTGGGATAAACAGGTGTTTATTAGCAACCCATTCTGCATGACACCGCTGTAGTGATTTTTTTCATAGCATGGAAAAAATCTTGAAGGTAGGAAAACAAAATAGAAAATTATGATAGAGTACTTTAGTCTTCATAATAACTGTAACATAGTAAACTGAATGGCAGTGTGGTGATTAATATCCCTTTCTTGAGGATATGAGTTTGAGGAGAGGTAACTAAAGTTTGAAGAAGCAAGTGTATTTTTACACATGATGGTAATGAGAAGTTTCACGTTATTTCTTTTCTCCTGTATATTTTTTAAGTTCTATTTCAGGTTAACCTTATATCATCAAATGTTTTATAAATGTATTAGCCAAATCCATGCAAGGTCTCTGTTGTACAGCAAGATTTTGTCCTAGAAATGTGACCACAGCATGTATATTGTTCCCTCTAATCTTTCTTACTGGTTTATTTTCAATAATGTTTTGCTCTAACAACAAAAAGGGATGGGGAGGCTGCCAACAGTCTACATATTAGAACAGTTCTTTAAGGAAGGAAATGGAGGAAATCTCAGACAAAAATCAGGACAATCATTCGAAACATGATCTTTTTATACCAACTGTTTAGGCCAAAATGCATCTATTTTACTTTTAATCACTTGATTTTATTTATAAATTGCAATTCCCTGATCCCCAAATTTTATTCTTTATATATCTGGTTACTTGTATTGATATTTGTTTATGTTGGGCAGTGTGTGTCAGTGTGTGCTTGAGTGTGTGTTTGTGTTTATAATCACATGTGATTTTTAAGATGGTGTTTAAAAGAAGTAACCCTTCCACAGCATGTCCTCCTCACATTCTTCCACCAGAGAAGAGGCCCCCTGAACCCCCTGGACCTCCACCGCCGCCACCTCCACCCCCTCTGGTTGAAGGCGATCTTTCCAGCGCCCCCCAGGAGTTGAACCCCGCCGTGACAGCCGCCTTGCTGCAACTTTTATCCCAGCCTGAAGCAGAGCCTCCTGGCCACCTGCCACATGAGCACCAGGCCTTGAGACCAATGGAGTACTCCACCCGACCCCATCCAAACAGGACTTACGGAAACACTGATGGGCCTGAAACAGGTTTCAGTGCCACTGACACTGATGAACGCAACTCTGGTCCAGCCTTGACAGAATCCTTGGTCCAGACCCTGGTGAAGAACAGGACCTTCTCAGGCTCTGTGAGCCACCTTGGGGAGTCCAGCAGTTACCAGGGCACAGGGTCAGTGCAGTTCCCAGGGGACCAGGACCTCCGTTTTGCCAGGGTTCCCATAGCATTACACTCGGTGGTCGGGCAACCATTCCTGAAGGCTGAGGGAAGCAGCAACTCTGTGGTACATGCAGAGACCAAATTACAAAACTATGGGGAGCTGGGGCCAGGAACCACTGGGGCCAGCAGCTCAGGAGCAAGCCTTCACTGGGGGGCCCCAACTCAGTCTTCTACTTATGGAAAACTCTATCGGGGACCTACAAGAGTCCCACCAAGAGGGGGAAGAGGGAGAGGAGTTCCTTACTAACCCAGAAACTTCGGTGTTCTGAAAGTTTCCTTCCCTATCCATCTTTTCATCCAGTCCTCTGAACCTTTAATGAAATCACTTGCCAGAGTGAGGTAATCATCTGCATTTGGCTACTGCAAAGCTGTCCGTTGTATTCCTTGCTCACTTGCTATTAGCAGGCGAATTACAAATAATGATGTGGGCATCAGTTCCCCCTGGATGGGTTATAGCCAGAACATGTACTTCAACTCTGCCTAGGAGATACAGTAGAGAATATGGAGAGGGTCATTAAATTGAAAAGTCAAGGTTATATTAGTTTATTGCCTGCATTTCTTGAGCAGAAGAGAGAACAGTTTGTTTTGAGATGGCTCAGGAGAGGCTCTCTTTGGTTTTTAAAGTTTTGGGATTTTTGGTTGGTTGGATTTTTTTTTTTTTAAATGGTTTCTTTCTTTTGAATTTTAATTTAGATTTTTTTCCCCTTTAAAGAGAATAGTGTTCACAAAATTTGAACTGTTCTTAGGCTTTTGCTAGAAGGAAAACAGTGGTCTGGCTGATTTAAATAAATGTTTCCTTCCTCTCCACATCTCACTATTTTTGCTTTTAAGTGAACACCCCTCTCCCCCACAATTGAGCATCTTGACCGTATCTTTTTTCCAAGTAAATTACTCATCCTTAAAGTTTATTACACTTTGACAAAAGATATGCCCCTTTCCCTGCACATAAAGCAGGTTGTAGAAAGTGGCATTTGGGGGCAAGTAGGTAAACTTGCCCAGTTTCTTTCCCTCCATCTCTTGTCTCTACCTCTCCCTCTCTGGCCCCTCCTTCTCTACCTTCTCCATCCTCCTCTGTTTTTGAGGCATTTGTTTGGAAAAAACATCGTTGAGATGCCCAAGAACCTGGAATTTTTTTTTTTTTTTTTTTTTTAATAAAGGAAAGGAAATTCAAACTCCTACATTGTTCTCTGTAACTCTTCAATTCCAAAATGTTTTGGTTTTTTTTTTTTTTTTTTTTTAAAAAAAACATGTTCTGATGGGGAAATTGATTTGTAAATGTGGATAGCCTAGGACATTGCTCTGAGCTGTGGTTATAAAGATGATGCCTCCATATACCTAGAGGGCTAATGAGAGCAGTTAGTTTATTGTTTACACATATATTTTTATGTCAAAAAAGAAAAAAAAAGTTTCAAACAGAGCATTGTGATATTGTCAAAAAGGGGAAAAAGCCCTGAAAATACATGGAAATG